CTTCACTCTTTCCAGAAGGTCTACTTTTTTATTTTCTAAAATAAATCAGAAGAAACCTCCCAAGCTGCAAAAGACCAACAAAAAAGTTCAATGAAGCAGAGTTAATCAGTTATTGTTGCACAATAGCTACTTATGTTTTTACATATGAGGCAATAGATTTGTTCTTATTCTGCTCCACCCAGACAGTCACAATACATGTTTTAGACCTGCAGTTCATATTGGAGAAATATAAAATAAACAGTCCTTTATAGTAATAGCCAATAAACACAAATGATACAATTTGCAAGTGCATGCAGAAAATTCAACGCTAAAACAATTTTTAAGTGAGTAATGAATTATACTTATGTATGTAAGCATATAGATATCTAAATTTGGGGGAGCATACGGATACTCTTTTTAGACTGTCACTAACTGTGCACAAAAACAATAGTCATAGTATGTTGGCAGTACAGGATTTTCACATGCATGTTCAGAACTTCCATGCACAAGTGCACGGGGTGTTATACCCATGGAGATAAGCAAGCTTCATATGCAGTTATGGAGGTCCAGACAAAAACAAAGCTATTAGAAGACAGAGGAGTCTAATCTCCCATTAAGTGGAATATTTAGAATGTAGACCCCATTAACAAAAGGGTTAAACTTAATCACTTTCACATCAGTAACAGAATGGATGTCTCCATAGTTATGTCTGAATTGAAGGATGTGAATAGTCTTGCATATATAAACAAAGAGTTATTAAAAGAATTCAATGCCCACTAGCTTCTCAAAATCATCAAAATGAATGTACTATGCAAGATTATTACTTTTCACATTTTAAATACCCTTTAATGACAAAAATATCTTCTAAATATTATCCTATCAAAATTGGAATCAAAAACAGATTATGGTAATCAACTGACTGATGTTGTGAGGGACTGATTTAATATTCTGCTATGTGATCAAGGCTTAATTTTTATCATTGTATTCAGCTCTGCATTGAAGCTATTTTACCAAATAATTGCTCAATTTTACAAAACTTTACCAACCTTACTTGTGAAATTAAGTCTTTATCCAGCAGTTTTTAAAGGATTAATACTTGAACTGTATTGGGCTACTACTTGCTACACTGAACAGATACCCATTTTGAATAATAAAAATCCATTTACACAAATATTTCAACCACTTAAAATGTTATCAGAAAAGTTTGCATCAGCTGTCAAGACCTGAAAATAATATGCAGGCAAGATGCAATCACTAATTAACTTTTTCCTAAATCTGTCCTCTGCCTGTTAGAAAAAGCTGAGTGGTATCATCCCCAACCATAATTCCTAATAGGAATGGAAGGAAGCCCTGGCTACCCATGCAGATGAAAACAAAGTATTCCGTCCCCTGGCTGTTTTCAATACTTTAAAATTCAGCAAAGTTATCTTCTGTCAGAGTCTTTACTAAAACTCCAACGGACATAATACCAAGAAATATTTCTAGCTGGAAGCAGCTAAACACTAAAACAGTTCTAGAGGCCCTGGTTCAAAGGATGTATAATTCCAAGCAATGCACCCAAACAAACACAGTTATTCTGTCAGTCACATGGCATCTTCTCAAGTCAATAGGCCAATAGTGCTCAGATGAGAGAGATCTAGATCAATGTGGCCTGGAAATACATTAATGAAAATCACCTTGCTGGGCTTTTTTTGTTTTGTTTTGTTTTTTACAGAAGGCTTCTATACAGTCCTGGCCAGATCATAAAGCAACTCTCTATCACAAAATGACTCTCCCCTAATTTCTCTCTGGCACATCTAACCTACTGGGTACAGAGTTATAGATAAATTAAACTCATATATTATTTGTGAGATGGACTGAGGCCAACAATAGTTTCATGTGAAATAGATCAAGGCATTTAGTCAATTTTGAGAAGGTAGGAAAAACAATAAATTTATCTCTTAAATTTTCAATTAGGATTATAATTCTTATATGTGTAATCTTTCTTTCAATCAATGCAGATCAATCTGCAAATCTTCTGGGACAAGAAAAAGTCTCTTGTATGATAGTTTTATCAGTTTCCTCCAGATTTTTGCTTAGCATCAGAATTTTTGCTTTCCTTTCCTTCCGTCTCTCCCATTTAGCTAGTATCCCTATATCACTAATGCCATATCAGATATTGGCATTTTGCTTTAAATGCTAGCCCAAAGGACTGGATGCCAGCCTAGAATACCAGACACAGATTTATTCCAAATACATAAACAATGTTCTGATCCTCCCAGGTGCGAGACTACACATCACAATTCTTACTCTTATAAGCAGTTTGTTAAAACCCCATACTTCATTTCAACTCCTAATGCTACTGATTAAGTCAGCATTTTGTTTCTTCTGTACATGTGAAAGCAATTTCTTGGTTTATATTTGTTCCTAAAAAAAAGGATTTAAAAAACCCAACACATTCCTTGGAGGCCTGAACAACCCAAACAATCATCTCAAGCACAATGAAAAAATCTGTAAAAATGACTTTCTACCACTAGTCTCCTCCTTAGCAAGGCGGGTTCCTGGAGCCTATGCAAAAATTATCGGAGAGGTTTCAAAAGAAGGTGAACTAGATGCAAATGATTGTTTAGAACTTGCGGTGTGCCCTGCAGGCAGTGAAGAGGCTAATGCAAACTCAGGATAGCCTGCTGGGCTCAAGTACATGTCCTTT